TAGCTAAAACCACTAACTAGTTTTTGCATTTGATATATAGTTCGCACTGAAACATTATTTTACAAGTTAATTTGTAAGATTAACTTGTGATTTGCTAGCAAAATATGAATAATTTGATACTGATGCTAACCTGATGAAAACCTCTGATTAAATAACTTAATGTAAATAAAGCAGTATAAACAAATAGTAACTTACAGAATAGGTACTAATTTATCCGATTTTGCATTTTTGTTTAAGTAGGCTTCAGCGCAAATATTTCGCTTAAGATGAACTTGATTAATTAATGGATGCAAAAAACATAAAGAATCAACTTGGAGTGAATACTTCTTGTTAATCTTTTCGAATGTAACTTTATCGCTTCTCTCTAATGCAATTCGCACATTATCAAAAATCTTAGACATCTTAAATTAGAAAAAAAATGAAATGCTAAGTGTATTATTTTCCAGACATTTTATGCGTAAACTATATCCCAATCGGCCAAATTTCAAGCAAGTTGTTTAAATTTTTTTAATTTCAAGACTTTTTATGCCTAAACTTAACCCAATCGGCCAAGTTTTAGGGAAATTTGCCTAGTTTTCTTAATTTCCTGATCAGATCGCCTCAGATGGCCTTAGGCATAAAAACCAACCAGCTAAATTTCAACTAAATTGGGCTAAATTTCCGATTTTCCAGATTGCCTTAGATTAGGCAAAAAAATTTTCGCCTAATACATAAAAAAGCTTTTTCGCCAATCATTATATTTAACACTCTCGCTTAATTTTGTGGTTTCAAATCCAAAACCGTGAAAAAAATCCTAATGAAATTTTGATTTTAAAAAAATGTAAAGTAAGATACACCTTATTTATAATATAATATTTCTCCTTAGGTGGCCGCCTAATCTGCAGTACTGTAGATCCGCCACTGCATTTAGAACTTTAATAATTCTGTTTATAGTTTGACAACTTGTTTTACTATTTCGATAAATGTGTAATATTGCTTTTGCTTCATTGTTTTCCATTAACTTTCAAATTTTTAGTGATCAAATTAAATCAAATCAAATATATTATGAATAAAGTTGACACGAAATATTACTAAATAGAAGTATTATTAATAATAATTATAATGCAAGTAGGAGTAAATAAAATTAATTGTTGTATAACAGCGATTAAAAGTAATAGTAAAGATTATAAAAACTATACAATATACTATTTTAATAACAATAATAACAAAAATAACAGTAAAAATAACAACAACAATAATTACAATAATAACAACAACAGTAATATAACAAAAACAGTAATATAAAAAAAAATTATGGCAATATTAACAACAGTAAGAATTATTATATTTATAATGATAAAAGTATAGTAATAATAACATTGACAATTATAGTAATGAAGAAAAAATACTTCAGTTTAAGAAAGATTAAAATAATAAATAACTGGTTATTGATACTTTATAACTACAACTATTTTTTAGAAAATATTGCTTATAAACCTTATACTTTTCTTTAACTTATTATTTATAACCCTAACTCTAAGCTTCTATTTATCTAATTTTTTTTTTCTCTTTTCTGTTGTTTTTTAATATTTTTTGTTAAATTTAATAAGTTTAACAAAAAAAATATTAAATCACAACAGAAAAGAAAAAAATTAGATAAATAGAAGCTAAGAATTAGGGTTATTAATAATAAGTTGAATGAAAATATAAAATTTATAAGCAATGTTATTCCAAAAAGTAGTTAATGAGAACAGTTTTTTACATTTCTTACATGACAAATTCGTTAAAAAAAATATTAACAAAGAAATCGCTCGAAATTAAAATTTACCAAGAACTGTACACTTAATTAAAATGAATGAATTTGTATTAGGTTTTCAACTCAAGGTAAGTACTTTGAAAAGTTCTAAACCACAGGTTTCTACAACTAAATATTTATATCTCTGGATCTCAACAAAAATTTCCGTAAGTCGCTCCTTCGACAGGATTGTTCCCGGAAAATTCCCGGGAAAAAAAATAAACATAAAATTCGAAATACCGGGAAATTTTTTCCGAGATCCCGGGATATTTTTTTCGGTACTCATGGATTTAAATAATACATCGTTAAATTTTCCCGCAAAAGTTATAATTTTTTGTTTTCCGGACCATCAGAAGATCACTTAATGATATTGTAAACTTGTGTTTTATCACTGTGCGACACAAATTTTAATTGTCATAAAAATGTCCTCAAATCGTAAAACTTCAAAGGTTTGGAGTTGTTTTGATTAAAAAAATGCAAACATTGTCCAAAACAAATATTATGCAAAGGCCACCGCTGCCAGCGGTGTCACCAGGCCAGCGTACCACCGTTGGGTTGAAAAGACATTTAGAGAAAATCCACAATATCATTTTAAATAAAGAATGTGAAGATAAACTGCTTAATAAAAAACGTTGTGCTCAATCTACAATTGATTCTATAATAAGAAAAATTTCATTAGGAGAACGATTGGCTCAATTTGCTGCTATTGATGGACTTTCCATAAGTGCAATAGCTGAATCGGATCAAATTCGTGAGTTGCTTCATGATAAAGGCTACAATCTACCAAAATCTAAAACAGATGTCATGAACCTAATCTATAAATATTATATCCAAACAGTTAAAGAAAAAAAAAGGACAATACTTGAAATAAAAATAAAAGAATCCATGTTCAGCATAGATTTAGATAATTATTCAAAATATGGGAGAAGGTTTATGAATATAAATTTTCACTATAATACTGGATTCATAAATCTCGGATTAGAGAGAATAATTGTATCGCATAATACAAATGTTTGCCTTAAACTACTTATCAAAAAACTAGACATGTTTATTGTGAGTCTTTCCAGTGATGTCGTTTGCATAACAATAGAAGGGGCTTCCGTTATGGAAAAATTAGGAAATATTTCTCTTGCTGAATATCAACTTTGTTTTGCACATGCAATAAATTTAACTGTAATTGATGTAATTTATAAAAATAAAGTTGAAAATAATCAGATTTCTAGTAAAGAAGATACTGAAGATGATTTTGACATTTTTGATGATGATTATGATAATGATAATGATAATGATGCTAATGATGAAAATGATGAAAATGAAAATAGTGACCGAGCTTCTGATCTTGTTCCTGAGCTTCATAAGGTTCTGGTTAAAGTTCGTAAAATTGTTGTAACTTTTAAAAGATCTCCCTGAAAAATGAATACTTTGAAACGTTATTCTAAAAGTGAATTTGGGCAAGAGCTAGTACTTATTTTAGATTCAAAAACTCATTGGAATTTGATGCTGGCCATTATTTAAAGATTTATTAAAGTTAAGAAAGTAGTTGGTAAATCTCTGGTGGATTTCAGTTTTAAAAAATTAATGTAGACTGATGATGAGCTTGAAGTAGTTGATAGTGTCTTGAGCCGATTGTTTTAGGTTGTGAAATGATTTGTAGAAGGGAAGCAACATTATTAACAGCTGACGACACATTAAAATTTATTGTTACCAAACTGAAGCTCATGATAGCTTCAAATAATCTTAAGATTGCTCTAGTTGAACGGAAGTGTCAAAGAAGGAAAAGTGATATTGTTGGTTTATTAAGGTTTTTACATAATACACAATCTTTAAAAAGTGACAGGTATAATACATTATTTTGCATACCATCTAAAACAGAGATGATAAATATAGCTATTGACATTACTGGTAGACTTTTCCCAATAATTGAAAAAAGATCAATAGAAGGAGATAATGATAAATTTAATTATAGTATCAATTTAGTAAAGTTATCTGAATATATGGCTGAAAGATTAGACAAATTTTTGAGAAAAAAAGACAACTTTAAAGTCAGTTGTAATAAATCACCTATGCGTCAAGAATTCAATTTGTTTGAAGCAACTAACAAAAGATCTTATATATTTAGATATGCTTTATAATGCACTTTTAACTATTCGACCTTCCAGTGTTGAAGCTGAAAGAGTGTTTAGTTCAACAGGCATATTTTTTACAAAGTTTAGAACTAGATTGTCAGACAGTCATCTGGATGCACTGGTTTTTCTAAAAGATCACTTTAAATCACAAAAATAGTTTTTAAAAGCAAAGTGAAAAGAATAATAAAATATATATATATATTTGTATTTTATTATGTAAAATGTACTGTAATGTAATAAATGTACTTTCGCAGGATTTTTCCGGGCTCCCGGAAACAACGTAAATAATTCCCGCTATCCCGGGAATGGAAAAAGCCCGGCAAATCGCAATGTCTACTGTAAACGTTTTGGTTATCGACGGTAATTTTGAAAAAAATTTTATAACATTGAAACAAATCAATTACGCCGATAAAATTTACAGCCGGTAGTATTATACGCCGATTTATACCATTGATTTATACCATTGGTCGAATATAAATATAAAGTTTTAGTTATATAATAGTTTTATTTAATTTATTCATACAATACATTATTCATAAAAATTTATTCCTTTAATTTATTCATATGTATTGATAACTAAAGGAGTTTTATAAACTTGTTATATGAATCACAAGCATAAGCTTATTCATTACTAGTGCATTTTAAAATGTTGAAATAAATGTCGATTATGAAAATTAAGATTTATATTTTTCTACCTTCAATGATAAAAATTACAATTTTTATCTAATGTGTTGGCGAGAAATCATAAGAGCTATATAATATATTAAAACTAATGCATGCGTTACCTATAAAGTTTAAGACCAACAGTTAACTTTAATTTTTTTACAAGTCGTATTAAAACGAGATAATGTGTAAAAAAAGATGTTTTCAAAGAAGTCTTTTAAACAAGAATGGAAAAGCTTCCATTTCGCGAGATAACCGTGAAAGCATACACAATTAAGAAACGTTCAAAGGTTTAATATATATACATATATATACATGTATAAACATGTATATAATTTATTTATTTATTACTCTTAGCAACCGTAAAATGACATATTAATATTAATAAAAGTAAAATGGTTATCAATATTACTCTTTTATTTTTAATTCATAGGTTTATAGACCCTGTCGTGTTTATTGCGACTGATGATTGAAGAAGATGATTGACTGAATATTGAAGAATTTTGTTTGACCTGTGTATTGACCAAATAAAAGTTTACAATTTGTGTTGCATTAAATTTTTAGAAATGTTTATCAAAACATACATTATTTTGTTCTCAATAATAATTCTTCTGCTATTACAAG